GTCCTGTTGACTGCCTCTTCGGCCCCGTCGTCGTCGGTCTTCAGTCTTCAGTCTTCAGTCTTCGTCCATCCTGGTCGTCCATCCTTGTTGTCGTCCATCCTGGCAGCCATCCATCTTGGTCGTCGTCGGTTTTCGTCGCCGTCGATCTTCGTAGCCATCCATTCTCGAAGTCCATCCTGGTCGTCATCGGTCCGGAGTCGTCCCTGGGCCTCGCTAGAAAAGGTTAAAGGTTAGAATGGCCAGGTGCTAATCACACTGGCCATGGGTTGCTGCCGGAGAAAGGAAAGGAAAGAAAAGGGAAAGAAGGAAAGAAAGATGAAGAACACCAGCATAGACACTGGTGTTCTGGTGATGATAGGGTGATGATGATGGTGATGGGGATGATCTTCAGCCCGGAGTGAGGGCGTGGGTGCCATCCGATGGGCGCGAGAGTGAGAGAGTCCATGGTGTCTGCAAGGAAATAAAATGAAAGTTAGAAATCAAAACAAACAAGCACTGATCCAGAACTTACCATTGTCGGCGAGACTTGAGATGATCTTCACCACCAAAACAAAGAGCGCGCGCCGGCGCTATCAGCAACAACGGCGGCGGCGGTGGCATGACCGTCTTCGTCGGCGTCTGTACGGCAAATGAGGCGACTGTGGCGCCGGCGCCAGCGGCGGCCGAGGCAGGCAGTCTGCTGACAGCTGTCAGGGGTGCCCGTCGTAGATGCAATGCAAGATACCGAAACGGGAACTTCAATTGCGGATATCTCGGGAAGTACTCGAGTAATTAAAGTTTCGCTTGCGCAGGGACTCTTTACTAAGCATCCTGCGTCGAATGAGACTATAAAACAAGGAGGTCGGATTTTTGGCCAAATCGGCCAAATCTGTAAGGCTATAGCCTTGCAGATTTTGAAAATCTGACCAAAAAATTTTTATTGCAGATTCTTAAAGTATTCGACGAGAGAACTTCAAATCTGAAAACGTGTTTGCTTTAAAACGACGGGAACATGGTCAATTTTAATTTTAAAGTTAATTAAAAATTATTCATAGTTCTAGTGTTGGCCGCTACGAAATGTGAGGCGCCACCTGCTTAGACGATTTTGGTGGTTTTTGGCAATTTTCGCACGATTTTCAAGCTGCGCTGGTAGCGCCTCACATTTTGCAACGGCCAACATCCGAACTATAAATTATTTTTTAGTTAGCTTTAAAATTAAAATTCACCATGTTTCCGTCGTTTTAGAGCAAAAACTCTTTCAGATTTGGAGTTCTCTCGTCGAGTACTTTCAGAATCTGCAATAAAAATTTTTTGGTCAGATTTTCAAAATCTGCAAGGCTATAGCCTTACAGATTTGGCCGATTTAACCAAAAATCTAACCACCTCGTTTTATGGCCTCATTCAACACAGGACGCTTAGTAAAGAGTCTCTGCGCAAGCAAAACTTCGATATCTCGAGTACTTCCCAAGATATCTGCAATTGAAGTTCTCATTTTAGCATAATTAGCTTAATAGCATAACGTCACTGTAATTGCTGTTGTTTGTATCAGGGCTAAAAAATATAAAGTGACAAACAGAAGGTTTGCCAAATAATTTCCAGCTGCCTGTCCTCTCAAGCTGCTACTGCTGCTGCTGCTGGTGCTGTTGTTTTTTAGCAGTACAGTGTACAGCAAATCAAGCAATTGTACGACAACAATACTAATCAAAAAAAAACAAAACCAGTCATTTTTAGGAAACAGGTGGTCATCAACCGGTGCTGTACAACAAGACAGGCAACCAATAATATTTCAAGCACACAGTGTAACTTGTTACCAGTGAAAGCAAAGCTTGAAAAAAAGTAGTATTTAAACCAAAAAATTATTTAGTTGATAGTCACCAAGTTTTACAGTCATCAAAAACACCAAACCAGCCAATTCAAAAAATGAATCAATTTCTTCTTTATGTCCCCTTTCTATTTTTCATTTTCCTTACTGTTCATACCTTCAAAGTTTCCGCCTTTCCAGTGGATTCCTACTACGAGGAGGAGTACTACGAAGAAGGCGGAGAAGAAGGTTATGAAGAGTACGGCTTTGGAATCGGTTTTGGATATGGTGAGATGATGGCACCGATAATGGAGCCGCCCATTCCGGTGGTGCCAATGGGGCAGCCGATGATGCCGCTGATGCCGCCGCCGCCGGTGATACCGGTGATGCCAATGCCCAGACAATGAAAACAGAAAATGTTTTTTAAAGAAAAAAGTGCGAAAGTCTATCACTAGACACCGCCAACGTCTTGCATTTTTTGTACTTGTGCTAAATGTTAAAATGCACTTTTTTGTTCAGTTGTTGAAAAATTGTATATTTGCAACAATAAAACTGGAAAAAATGTTTAAATAATTTTTATTAAAATTTTTTTATCTTAAATTTGCTGACTGCCTTCTTAAACTGGTCACCATTTTAAAAACACTAATTCATCTTTAAAGTTAATTTTTATATTGTATTTTTTAATTCAGTTTTGCCCCTTTAAGCCATCATCAATTGGTAAACTTTTCATTGTTTGAATTAATTTGATTATGAAACCTTAAAATTTATTATTTTCAATACAATATTCACACAATTGTTTATCAGCGTCATTCTTTCCCTTTAAAAATCACTTCATTTAATGCGTTCCCATATTATTTCTGCTTAGCCAACACTTCTACTGCAATGCAGAGCCGATCACAAAGAAACCATTTTCTTTATCAGCAGCAGCAACAGCGGCGGCAGCGGCAAAAAATGCCGTAGATAAAAAACATAACGAAACACAGAAGAACACTAGCCAAAAGAAAAGCCGCTGACGCAGCTGATCAGTAAATCGGATAGAAAAAAAATTGAGAGGCAGCAACAGCAGAAAATGACCAAAGCTAACGACAACTATCGTACACAACAGTTTGGCCCAAAAAGAAAGCTTTGTACAGCAACCAACCAGGCAGGCAAAACCGTACACTCCAATCACATGCTCTCTTCTGTCGGTGAAGAGCAGCAGCAGCAGCAGGAAAAACGGTTTTCGGCAAAGAAGGTACAGAAAAATTCCAAACTAAACCTTTTTTATCAAGCTCAGTAATCTGATTATCACTTTTTCACTGACTATCAGCAGAGATCTTCAAACAAGGAAATCATGTCCTCTACCTGGTACTTTTTGGCGATTTTGGCGGCAATTCTGGGCAGCTTCATCGGTACGTTTTGTTTAGTGTTGAACTAATTAGAAAAAAACCCTAAAAGTGATCTTTTGAATTGCTCCTAGGCCCTAGCCAGTCGACGGTAATCCCCCTCACCAATCAGCCCCTCACATCCTCCCAAAGCTTTTCAGCAGCAGCCGCCGTCCACTCCCAAGCCCACGCCCCTTCGGTGGGAAACTCCCGCTCAAATGTTAACCCCTTCCCCGCCCACGACCCTTTTGGTCGGGCCAAAGTGTACCCGGGCATGGTGCCCCATTACCCGCAAGAGAATGGCGGCGGGCAGAAGCGGCAAACGCTGCAGTTCACTTTTAGCCCTGAACCACAGCAGCAGCAGCAGCAGCAGCCCCTTCCGATCATCAAGGCGGTGTACACTCCACCGGAAGCACTCCTCCCTGGTCCTGGAGGTGCTCCTGCAGCAGACCGCTCGCAGATGATCATCAACCCGGCGGACATTCAGTGGACCGCCCCGGATGTGCCGGACGCCATCAGCAGCGAGATCATCAACAAGATTCGCCTTCAGCTGGGAAATGGGCCGGTCACCCTCGGCGAGCTGAATCACCGCCTGATTCAGTTCACCACCACGCTGCCCAATGTGCTGGTCAACAAGACGCAGATTACCACCGTCCAGGAGACGGTGGTCGAGGAGCAGAAACAGGTTCAGCAGGAGGATCAAAAGAGCACCAGGATGATGGCTTATCAGCAGCAGCAGCAGCAGCCGAAGAAGCCGGTCAGTGCCTCGTACAAGGTGACCACCAGCAGTTCCACTTCCACTTCCGGTTACGATGGTCACCCCTCAAAAACCTACGTCTCCTATGATAAGGTGGCGCCCATCA